GTGCGAGTGCGTACATCCGATTAGGTTATCCGCAATTAAAGCTAAAAACAATTCGATTTCGCGGTGTAGGTGCGGTTGACAATAAGGCATTAGGCGAGTTTAATACTGAATTGACGGTAGATGGTCATATATATCCCATTTTGATACGTGTTGTTCCAGAAATGCTTTTGAGTCAAGATTTACTTGTTGGCACATATTTTTTGGATTTAATTGAGTTAACGACAAAAACTGGAAAGATTATAATTAATCCACCATCAGAGCAAACGCGAGATAATGATTTACCGGAGATTATGCAAATTAATTTGGACTTTGAGAGTAATAATATCGACGTATCACACGTAACAGAACCAAAACATAGAGAAAAGATTAGAGAACTTGTGCGAGATTACGAGCCAAATAAGACGCGAGAAATAAATTTGAAGATGTCGATAGTGTTAAAAGATGATGAACGGGTGTACCAACATGCGAGACGATTAGAGCGATACCAGAGAAAGAGTCAGTGAATGCGCAAATAAACGAGTGGTTGAGCGACAGTATAATATAGTCATCGTTATCGGACTACGCGAGTCCGATTGTGTTGACGAAAAAGAAGGAAGGAAAAAGAAGGTTCTTCAAGGTTGTGCGTAGACTTTCGACAACTGAATAAAAAAATTATAAAAGACCGATACCCTTTACCGTTGATAGAAGATCAGTTAGACTTATTACAAACCGCGAAGTTGTTTAGTACCCTTGACCTGAGGAACGGTTTCTTTCACGTTAAAGTTGACAAACCTAGTCAAAAATATACAGCTTTTATTACATCAGATGGTCATTATGAATTTCTACGCGTTCCGTTTGGTCTGTGTAATTCTCCAGCTATTTTCCAAAGATTCATTAACATAGTGTTCAGAGATCTCATTAAAGCAAAGACTGTATTAACATATTTAGATGATTTGATTGTACCATCAATTGATGTTGAGAACGGGATTGAGAAGTTGAAAATAGTCTTGCGGGTTGCGAGTGAAGCTGCTTTAATAATCAACTGGAGAAAATATAACTTTTTGAAGAAGCGTGTTGAATTACTTGGGCACATTGTAGAGAATGGGTGTGTATCTCCGTCCAAACGTAAAATTGAGGCAATTAGGAATTTTCCTGAACTAACGAGCATAAAGCAGGTGCATAGTTTTTTGGGTCTCAATGGATACTTCCGAAAGTTTATCCCACAGTATTCAACTACTGCGCGACCGTTGAGCAATCTTTTAAAAACCAATGTGAAGTTCGAGTTTGGCGACAAAGAGAGGAATGCTTTCTTGCGATTAAAAGAGATCTTGTGCGAGAAACCGGTGTTAAGACTTTATAAAATCGGTGCTGAGACAGAGTTACATACAGACGCGTCGATATACGGATTTGGCGCAATACTATTGCAGAAAAGCGAAGTTAATAACGCATGGCATCCGATTTATTACAATAGTCATAAGACAACGTTAGCACAACAGAGATATCCTAGTTACGAGCTCGAGGTGTTAACAATTATCAAAGCACTCAAAAAATTTAGGATCTACTTACTAGGGATTCCGTTTACTATCGTAACTGATTGTCGTGCTTTTGTGGCAACTATGAATAAGAAAGATTTGTGTGTGCGAGTCGCGAGATGGGCATTATTGCTCGAAGAATTCCAATATAGAATCGAACATCGCCCGGGTAGAAATATGAAACATGTAGACGCTTTGAATCGAAACCCGCTAGAGTGCAATCGATCAACAAAGAGATGGACTAACAACGCGGTTAAAGAAAGCGCAGGCCGAAAATAGTGATATTACAAAGATATCCAAGCTTGTAGAATCAGGTAAGACGAACGATTACATTGTTACAGGTGATTTACTTTTCCGCGAAAACGATGGCGACATATTATTAGTAGTTCCAAAAAATATGCAATCACAAACTATTAGACAGGCACACTTTTCTATAGCAAAGACCGAAGTTATTTTACGTAAAGACTATTGGATACCGAATGTTAGATCGAAAATCGAGAAAGTAATACGAAACTGCGTTATTTGCATTTTGTCCGAAAGGAAACATGGTAAACAAGAAGGGTTTTTAAATCCGATTATAAAGGGAGAAGTTCTCCTCGATACTTATCATATCGACCATTTAGGACCATTTAAGCATATTCTTGTTGTGATAGATGCGTTTTCTAAATTTGTATGGCTATACGCGACAAAGACTGTAAGTACGAGCGAAGTGTTAGATAAGTTGCGTAAACAAATGACTATTTTTGGGAATCCACGTAGAATAATTTCCGATCGAGGTACAGCATTCACCTCGGATGACTTTTCCGAGTATTGTGTAAGCGAAAATATTGAACATGTTTCAGTTACGACCGGAGTCCAAGGGGAAATGGCCAAGATGAACACGTCAATCGAACACTTATACCATTTCTAGCGAAGATAGCAGACTCTAATCGCGATACATGGTACAAAGATCTAGATTAGTACAACAATACCTAAATACCACAGTACATAGAAGCACGGGTATAGACCCGTTCCACCTATTGTTCGGTACGCGGGTACGATTGCGAGATGATTCTGAGATTCGGAAATTAGTTGAAAGCGAATGGATAGAAATATTCCAGAAAGAGCGCGATGAACTAAGAGAACGTGCAATAGCGAGTATGGAAAAGGTTCAGCGGGAAAACCGACTAAGTTTTAACAAAAAAGGATTGCAGCCACTAATTATAAAGAAGGAGATCTAGTTGCGATTAGACGAACGCAACAAGGACCGGATTTAAAGCTAGCCATGAAATTCCTTGGCCCTTACAAAGTAACTGGTATTTTGCGGGGTAATAGATATCTAGTGCAACGAGAAGGTGACAGTGAGGGGCCACACACGACCTCGACTTCTTCTGATAATATGAAGTCGTGGTTGCCCGATATTTCAGATACTGAGTCAGAAACTGAACCTGATAACGAATGATGATAGATGATGATATCTGGGGTCGGATATCCAAGCAGAATGGCCGAATGTGGGGTGTGTGAGCGTGTGCAGTGTGAAAACAAAAAGCGAGCGAGTGCCGGACCCTGGATTCGAGAGTCCTGCAGTATTGGTCAATGCGAGCAGCGAGTTTAGGAGTGTGTACGTGGGTTAGAGGCGTGCTGGTGAGTGAGCCGGCGAGGCGTAGGCTGCGCCGAAGAAGAAGCGGCGCGCGTGTGTTAGCGAGAGGATGAACTGGATGTCCGGTAGATGAGACCGTGTGTTAGAGAGTCCTTGAGATAGTGTAGAGTACCAAAGAGCCTGTGAATTGATTACCGAATAAATTGTTACTCGCTGTTTATCTGAGACGAGAGTTTTGATCCTTCTGTGAGACTGAGTGCTGTGAGCTACGAGGTAGGGGAGAGAGCAAGGACCCTACATTAATATATTATATATTTTTTATAAATGAAAATTATCTCCTGAGTCAATCAATATCGAATTTTATAGGAATATTGCTATCTCTGGAGGATACTAACAAATCAGTGACTTCAGAAAAAAAAAACTTTCTTTCCTCTACACGAGTAACTCACGAGATTTTTAAGAGTTTCCATCTTTTTTCCTCACCCTATATATATGTCTAATAATAAATTTATAATAAACATGCATTAAATTATATTCAAATTATAAATTGTCAGAACATAATGAATGGTTGAATAGTTTTAATAATACAGATTTGAATTACAATTTGAACGATTTAATAACAATTTTCTCCTTTCTTTCTGTTTTCTTTTTTAATTTCTTTTTCTACAGGATGGGGGGTTATAAGTTTACAACCCGAAGTGTGAAGATGGATTAGGTTAAGATAAATATAAGTCCCATACCGTTTTACGAGATTCGCAATAATTATCGAGTTATTAATGACAGAAATCTGAGGAATGGGAGCGCGCCGACATAGATGATTGAAGAAGCGTTGCAGCTACTCAGGCTACAGCGCGGCCCATTCGACCCAGCAACTGTTGGCGGCGTGCGGCGAGACGTAGGTCCGGCGAGATAAAACAACGAATAGCAGCGCATTGTCTTTCCCCTCGCCGCGCACCGGCAACAGTTTCTGGATCGACTGGGCCGCGCTGCGGCCTAAGCAGCTGCAATGCTTCTCCAATCATTTACGCCGGCGCGCTCCCACTCCTCAGATTTCTGTTATTAATAACTCGATAATTATTGCGAATTTCGCAAAACGGTATGAAACTTTTATGTTTGTCTTAACCCAATCTACCTTCACATTTCGGGTTGTAAACTTATAACTCCCTACCCTGTATAAACCTTTTTTTGAAAATTTATTTTTTTATTTTTTCGTGGAATTTTTTTGTTTTGGTGTCATTATTATAATTAAATGTTAATATATTTTTTACTATAATATAAGAACAAATATTAAAATTGGTAAAGATTGCGTTATACATTACGAAGAAAAAACAGTGCATTTATTTGGTGAATATAAAAAGCGATGCGTGAGAGAAAAATAGATCATAAAGAACAAAAGTAATATGATGAACCTATTTTTGCTGCTGAGAGAAATTTTATATGATTCTGGAATTGATAACTGAACATATAATAAAAAGTTATATTATTATATTAATTGCAATTATATTAATTGCAATTATATTAATTGCAAGAACCCAATATTTGAATCTTTAAACATATTTGCCGAAAAACAATATCGATAAACATTATATCTTGAAAAACAATCGATAGATTTGAAACTTGCAGAAAATATTTTTGAATGTTTGTCGCAATTATTGACAACTTCACTTTTTTCAATAACTTAATCTTAAATTTTTAATGAAAAATAAACGATTTATTCAGTGAAGATATCATAATTATTAAAAAACAATATTTGACAAAATGGCTGCTGTTTGGTATAAAGTTGTGAGAAATTCAGATATGTGGGTAGATATATACATGGCGCGCGCGTATATTGTGTATATTGTATATGTATATGTGTGCAATTAAAAAAAAATTACATATGTGTAATTTTTGTTTTAATTGCATTTTACCTGATAGACATACAGAGACTAATTCAACATTATATGCTTTCATAGCACTTATTATATTCTTCAGACCACATGATAAAACAGTAGTAGGACCTAAAAATATATATATACAACATAAAATTAAAGGAATACTATTTGTTATCATTGTATAATAAAAAAATAAATGTAAATATGAATTTTCGTGAATTTAAATATTAATTTTAAAAAATGTGAATGTTCTATATATACTTAGATCATTTCTTGTTCCTAGTGCTACTACAACAGCATCTGTACCAGCTATTGCTTTCATAACTTGATCTGCATTAGTAACATCTCCAACGATCGACTCAATTCTATTTTTAAGATCTTCAGGAACTTTAGCTGTATTCCTTATAAAAGCTCGTACTTTTAAACCTATATAAATATAGCAATAATATATAATAACAATATATAACATATAATATAATATAATATATAATATAATATAAAATATAATAATATAATATATTTATGCTATAATAATATTAATATATAATAATAATATATAACATATTTTTAACGATTAGACAAATAGATGGTTTGTACAGAATTACATTATTGAAAGAAAATAAAAAGAAATGCTAAGAATATACACTTCTTTATAAGAGCAATTGTATACAAAATAATGTCATTATAATTTGGAAAACAATTTGTATAAAAATATTAATCATTAAACAGTTATATGATGAATGAAAATACTTTTTTGCTACAATAAATCATTTGGAAAATGTTAAAATAAAACGTTGCTTTTTGTATTATTTACAAAATGAATATTAAAAAATTAAATAAAACGAAGATAATTTCTATATAAATAAAGACGTATCATTTTTATGGTATGGTAAAGATACATCAACTAAAAATAAAAAAAGTTTATTTCTTATAAAACGCATTCCTTATTATATAAATATATATAATTATATTTCTATAAAGCTCGGATTTAGAGGCAAAATTTTGTGCGCAAATACTAAATTAGCCTAGCAGTGGTACATTGAATGTATCAGTCATATAGTTTTGAAATTTCTTCTATTATAAAATTCCGAGATAAAATTAAATCGATAGCCACAAACACATTGTTATGCTCGAGTTGCACAATCGATATAAATCAAACACATTTAAATAATGAGTGAGTGCAAAAATTTATGCTCGATTCCAATAAACGTCATTAGGAGATTTGTGTGGTAGCATTATTAATTGATTGAGCTCTACGTGTATGTATCGTACATCGTTGAAAAAATGACATTCAGTTGACATACAGGTGTACCTAAAAATATGTTACAAATTTTAAGGGCGTATTCTAGTTCTTATAAACATGAGTCCAAAAATGCTTTCCCTCCGAGTTATAGCCCCCTAAAGCGATAAGTTGCCCATGCGGCCGGTGTTCCGAATATTCTCAATTTTTTTTCTCCGTTTTCTTGGAAACAATTGGTCTGAGAAAGAATTTTAGGAATAGCTTTTTGAACGTTTTTCCTCCTAAATCAAATGGTTTTATTCATTTTTCAATACGACGAAAAATAAAGGAATATGGCCATTTGAAAATTAGCACCCCCTTCACATCTCGCCCGCAAAATCGGACCAAATTGTCAAAACCACATAAAAATGAAGGTCACTATCGAGGCCACTATTAATTATCACGTTGTACAAAATTTCGACGACCTTTTCCCCCTAACTTTAGGGGGCTATAACTCGGAGGGTAAGCATTTTTGGACCCATGTTTATAGGAACTTCTTTTCTTATTTCTTTTCTTATTTGACCCCTAAAATACACCCTTAAAATCTGTAACATACTTTTAGATATATCCTGTATAAGCGAAATATTTGTATATTTTTATTGTATTTACGTTGCGAAAAAAATGTTGAAAATGAGTGAAGTAAAGATATAAACGGCACCTTAAAGGTATATCATAAAGATATTTATGGCATCTTACATGCTTTATGAGTTTCGGAAGAGTGTAACAGTTGGAACCGACCTCTCTGGCAGTCATGGGAATTCGGTGACGGACTTGCCAGAGAATTTTCCCCACCACGCCGGCACATACAGCTGGCTTGGCTATCTGTGTGACAGTTGCCGAGCTGACTATGTGCGTGCGTGGTGGAGGAAATTCCCTGGCAAGCCATTACCAAACTCCTATCACTGTTCTCTAGTCGATTTTCTGGCATAGATAATAATATCGTATAATTTAATATAAAATAATTCACGAGTTTCAATATAAGAAGTTGGTGATAGATTCAATATTGATAGACTGACCGAATTTCAGCATTTAACAAAGAATAAAGCTACACTTTGAAACTTGATATGCGAGTGCTATATTTGCTAACCGAAACGAACAAATCGAATCAAGTTTTTATAACTGTTTCCTTGTTTGGCTGATTAAAAAGAGTTGTTTTTTAATTGACTAATGACTGGCGTTGAAAAATCAATCCTATATATTAGGTAAATCGGAAAGTTCCGTCCATTTAGCGACAAGTAGCTATAGCTAGAACTGTTGTTAATCTATAATGTCTAAATGAAGCTTAATAGTTTGTTTTGACAACTGTCAATAACATTCAGTACATAAAAGTATACGTTTGCATCAATAACATTGTTTTTCACTGCATCGAAAATGTCGAAATTTGAACCAAATAAGCGTCATTTGCGCGAAATATTAATCTTTTGCTCCAATTGTAAGAAAACTGCAGCTGAAGCTGCAGTTTTCTTACAATTGAAGCAAAAGCTCATCGAATGCTTGTAGAAGTTATGATGATAATGCTCCTTCCGATAAAACATCCAGAGAATGGTTTCGACGTTTTAAAATTTGTGATTTTGATGTAAAGGACAAAGAGCGTTCTGGACGGCCAAGAGTATTCGAAGATGAAGAATTGCAGGCATTGGAGGACAAAGACCCATGTCAAACGCAAAAGCAACTTGCAGAAGCATTAAATTGTGCTCAATCTGTCATTTCCGATCGTTTGAAAGCCTTAGGAAAAGTTTACAAGGAAGGAAAATGGGTCTCATATGAACTGAAGCCAAGAGACATTGAAAGGCGAAAAACCACCTGCGAAAATCTGCTCGCTAGGCAACAAAGAAAGGGGTTTTCACATCGTATCATCATTGGGGGTGAAAAATGGATTTATTTTGACAATCCCAAACGTCGAAAAACTATTTACGATTCCGGCCAACCCTCAACATCAACGCGGAATGTCCACGGAAAGAAGATAATGCTCTGTATTTGGTAGGATCAGAAGAGTGTGCTGTACCATGAGCTGTTGAAAAATGGTCAAACAGTCATAGGGGATCTCTACAAATGATCCGTTTAAGCCGAGCATTGCACGAAAAACGAGTAGAATATGAAACGACACAGCATAAAGTGATTTTGCTTCATGACAACGCTCGGCCTCACGTTACAAAATCTGTCAAAGAAACGTCAGAAATACTTCGCTGGGAAGTGTTACCCCATGCGGCTTATTCACCAGACTGTGCCCCTTCCGACTACCACTTGTTTCGGTCGATGGCACACGCACTTGCTGACGAATGCTTCAATTCTTATGAAGATGTCGAAAAATGGTTCTCTGACTGGATAACCTCCAAAGATAAGTCATTCTTTCGCCGCGGAATTCGCTTGCTGACCGAAAGATGGAAAAAAGTCACCGCTAACGGTGGACAATACTTTGATTGATGTACTTTTTCATTTTGTTTCTTAAATAAAGCCATACGTTTTGCAAGAAAATAGACCGAACTTTCCGATTGACCTAATAACAATGGAACTTGGAAACAAGCAAATGAGCGTGTGGAATGTTCGATAAAAGCCAAATTACATCCGGAAAAGGTAACGTTTTCTGTTTGGTAGGATTGCAAAGAAATAATTTCGTTTGAATTGCTCTTTGTTGGCCAAAGATTAATTATAAAAACAAATATTGTCAATAATTAGATAATTCAAAAACAGCAATTCAGGAGAAGTGTCCATTTCTGACCAACCGTAAGGGAATCGTCACGATGACAACGCAAAAATACATATTGCAAATCAAAATTTACGCAGATTAAAGGAACTGAAAGGAGATATCATATTACATTATCAGACTATCACTTATTTCGATCATTGCAAAACTATTTGAGTGGAAAAAATTCTTTAGAAGCCATCAAAAACCATCTTCTTTCCTTTTTTAACTCAAAATAAGATTGTTTTAGGACTGAAATATCCGTACGCTATCAGAATGTTGGGAGAAGAAAACGACGACAATCACATCATTAATTAATAAAAAAAATTTGACATGTTAAATTATCGCTTGAATTTTAATGAGAAATTGAACACATACAAGAACTGTTGCATTCGTATAATAATATTTTAAGAAATAATTCGATGATTAAAAGTTGCAACGCTTTATTTTGGTGATTTTTGCAACATATCTCGTATTTAATAGGAAAACTTATTATTTGAAAGAGAGGGGAAGAGAGAGAGAGAGGGGGGGCAGGAAGAGGGAGGAGGGGTGGAAGGATAGGGGAGAGAGAGGGAGGATTATAAATCATGGATGACACAGACATAGGAGTTAATGACCGGAAATGGCTAGAGTTCCTCAAAGCTGAACATTGTTTTCTCTAATATTTTTTTAGATGTGTTTTCGTAAATTTAATTCCTGCATCGCATAGTCCTCTCATATGAGGAGAGTACGAGGTTAAAAAATATCACTCTATATTCTGTTTTGTCAAAAATGAATCAAGTCTTTGTTGGTACTTGGATCTCAATAGACCAGATAACGCATATAGTTCATAGTTCATAGCACCAATAAAATTAGTTCCGTTATCAGAACTGTTAGAATACCTCGTTATTTTGTACACAACAAGGTTAAGAAAGGAAGTACGCAACTATGCTGATACGTTTAATAAGCTATATTTAATAATAGCTTCACAGTGAACATAAGATATAACATGAATACGCAAATCACATCAAAAGAGAAATAAAAGATGTTACAAACAGCGACTTCGCTATAGCATGAACTATCGTTTCAAAAGAAAAAGAACTGACTTATTTGACCAATGTCCCCGCTCCCACCTTTGTCCCGCACTTCTTGAAGCCTACTAAAGAGGAAGCCAGTTATAAGACAGTTGGCGTTGCTTTGCGATCGCGTGTGAAACGATTCAGTAATATGAACTAATAATAAGCACGCTGAATAATTCCAACAAGAACATATATTAGAAAAAAAAGAAATATTACAAGGCTTTTACAAACTATAATCAAATAGCTATAATTGCCAATTTAAGCTCGTATACATAATAAATGTATTTATATTATTACAAACAATTTTTATTCTCAGACATGAATACCTAAGCTTCCAAACATTTCGGCTTTGTATTTGGCTGTCATTAGTGATTAAAAAATGTTAATATCTGAGTCAATTTGTACC